GAGTCAAGGCAGAGCTGCAGAGAAAGCGCTGAAGAAAAGCAACATCTCTTAAGATCAAGGCTCTCTGCTTCAGGCAGAGACAGTCCCAGCCGAAGGCTCTCTGTCTTCAGAGTCCTGTGACGTCTGAGCAGCTTCCCTGCCCTGCAGATGGACCTGCCCTCGCCTCCCCAGGAAATGACTTGCTCTCCAGCCAGCCAGGGCAGTTGCTGACAGTGTAATCCTGTATCTTGCTCATTCACAGCATTTGCTTGTTTACCAGCAAGGAAACCCCACCCCATACTCAAGGACAACAGGAGGGAAGGAAATCCAGATGCTGAACAGCCTTATTTTTCCCACTCATTTCTCTCCTAGTTCCAAGCGTCATAAAACAACACTGCAAAAGCTGCAGGAAGTCGCTGTCTCCATCCTTGATAACAAACATGCCGTCAGCTGCAGCCTTGGTGTACAGGTCCACTCTGCCCTCGCACTAGCTTACTATGATGACCACAGCAGTGCTGCAGCAGGCAATGGCAGGGTCAGGTTTATTGCATGGGAAAAACCCATTTCAAGGCCTCCTTTCCCTCTTTACCTGTAGCGTGCAAAGAACCACTGTCACTTCTTCAAAACACAGCATGCCAGACACAAAGCCTGGAACAACCTCAACTTTCCCACTTGGTTATTGGTGTCACAAGGTTCTGTCCTTCCACAGCGCCTTGACAGCAGCAGTTTGGCTGTGGCCAGTGCTCTCTGACATCCAGCTCCACAGAGGTGGCCACATGGACCCCACATGGGTCTAACACACAGGGTAGCCAGGTCTCACAAAGCCCTTGAGATAGCTCAAAGCCGCATTCTCAGCTAGGAGCCCACATGCCGAGGTCCCGCAGCAAGACAAGGCAGTAACAAACACCCAGGACGCTTAGCAAAGCTCTTCTGCAACACGACTTCTCTGCAAGGTCACAACAGTCTCCAAAAGAGTTGTATGCAATGAGTGGGGGCAGCCACAAGAACCTCTCCGAGAAAACTTCTGCCTTGGGTTGCGACCCAATCTCTCTGCTATTTCTCCAGCCAACTTCACCTCTCATCACTGTACAGCATGAGCAGCAGGCACAAAAGGGGGAGTATTTGATTGACTCAACAAATCAAATTCCCCAGATAAGGCAGAGAAGAACAGATGGACAGCGAGGCTACTGTCAGCTTGGACACAGGAATTCTGCCACAGGATACTGCAGCCAGGGACATTTCTTCCTTTTAAACAGCCCCCAGCCAGAAAATGTACTTTCTGTCCTCCCGCGATACCAGTGTGCACAGCCTGCTTCACGGCAGGCTGTTTGCACTGAGCTGCGTGCTACTCTTCCCCTTATCCAGGGATTTCACAACAGACCTGGAATCCCAGTCTTGCCTTCGAACAGAGGGCTCTGTCCCGTTGTCAGAGGAGAGAGTTACGATCAGTAAGAAAGAAGATGAGACCAAATCTGCTCCTTCTCAATTATGACCTAATGACACAACATCAGAGGACGAGCCCAGATAACTGAAAGCAGCCTAACGCACTAAGGTAGATACACAAGTCTGAGAACAGGTAACAGACCCACAACAACTTGCTGTGTTTGATTTAACTTGCTTTTACACACAGGGTAACAGAAGCATTGATCCCATGCCGAAATACCTTGGCCCGTGACCAAGTATCCTCATCTGACCAGTCTACGAACATTTCCTGCCACAGCTTCTTTCCACACCGGGCTGTAACCCTTGCATTCTTGAGTAAACACTTTGAAATGAAGGGCTGAGCAGAAGTACTTCTTGACATTTCTTAGTGGGTACTGCTCTGCCACATGGAGAAAGCCACTTCATGCAGGATGCCTTGCAGGTGCAACAGAATGTAAAATCGTGAACACATTGGGAGGAGCCAGCCATCAGTTCTCCCCTTTGTTTCCCCTCTACACTTCATGGCCAAACCACCAATCCCTTCAGGACAAGCAGGGATCTACAGCAAATTTGCACTCTGTGTTACAAATACAGAGGATTCACCTTGGACGCAGTTACTACTGTAAAGGCCTAATACTGTGAGCGTGAGGAGCTGGGCTAAGGCTGAAGTAGCTGTGAGTCAGGCACCAGGATGGCCTTCTATCTGAGGGAAGTTTCATCTGCACAGGGAACAGATCCCAGCATACTGGCAGGAGAGAGAACGCGCAAAGCCAGCTCCCCCTCCAGCTTAAGGGGGATTCAAACCTCAGTTTAGTGTTCTTAACAATGCAAGGCACATTGCTACAGTAGGAAATACAAGGAACGCTCCTAAAAAGCACAGCAGAAAACTGATGTGAAATTCGGTATGGGCCTGAGACAAGGAACTGAGCACACCTAAATCTCTGCCAGCGCTGCTCATTCCTGGCTCCAATTGCTTGGCAGAAGACAGGGTAGAAACACGGACCTCTCCCATCACCAAATCCAACCTCTTGCTGCTACAGAGACCTGGCAAAGTCGAGCATGTTTCACAAGAGCTGCTCATGCCCAGGAATTGCTTTCTGGCTCCCGAAGCATTATTTCTTCTCTTCATAGCTAAGTGTAGATAAGATTCCTAGACGGGAAATCTGCTTAAGAGCAAATCTACCTTTGTCCAGGTTTATTAAACACGACTTTTACCAGCCAAAGCAATCCCTAAGCATTTTGAAGTACAGTCAGGGGCTTTTAGAGCCTTTGCTTGCCTTGTTTGGGGAAGGCAAATTAATAATTTGAGTCAAGGCGTGAGGTAAGGTAGAACTGCAGCCCAGCTCTTCCACAGGGATTTCTGCATTGCAAGGTAAACAAGCAGTTCAAAAGAAACACGACGGGGGAGAAATGCACTTTGGGACTAAGTCCCCCCACCCGGTAAGCAAGCACAGCACCAATACCACTGATCTTCACAGAATCGAGGCTGGATGGCACCAGTAAAGCCACATCACAGGACGCAGTCATCTAACTACGTCTGTTAATGATTTCCCTAGATTATCCTGCAGCAAGACCTCACAGTGACCTTCCCTGGCACATGGAACACCATCCAGCTAAGCCACCCCTACGTCCCAGGCCCTGCACAGCTCCCTCCCACATGGCTGATTCTCTTCCTGGAGCCTCCAAGGACCCACCAGCAGCACAAAGTCTCAGGCAGGAGGAAGTCTTTAAATTCACACCAGCACCTGCAAGTGTCATCCATCTCTTGGGAAGGGTTAAAGTAATTTCTCGAATGGCAAGGCAAGAAAACTACTAACGAGTTAAGTGCTGCATTGTGCACAGATGCAGAGTGAAAGGCCAGTTATAGAAGTACCATCTAAATACTCAGAGATGGAAACCAGCTCTCCTCCTCCCAGGAGCCTGTGATCCCAGCCCCAGGAAGGAGTGAGCCAGTACCAGCACTCTAGGAAGCCTGAATAGCACAGGAAAAGCAAGAGCAACTTTGTGGTCAGATGAGCAAGACTGAAAGTCACCCTCATTCCACATTGCTTCAAAGCTGTTACTTACACTGATTGGATTTTGGGGAGCTCAGGGATTTCTTCCTTTTTCTTGCGGAAGAAGAACCAGTAAGTAAAAAGCCCAGTGATAAGTGAGATGAGAAACACGTCAGTCATGCTGAAGAGAGGGTCTTGCTGGGCAGGGCTCTCTGGAGCAGAAACAGTTGGTTGCATGCCAGCATCCCCCATGACGGTCAGAGAACCTGCAAAGAAAAGTAAGTGAATGCTAGCAGTCACAAAAAGTCACAGAAGTTCAAAAGAGCACTAAGGGACCTTCAGACCAGACCCTTTACGCTGTAAGTTTATCCTAGGAGCACAAGTGAGCCCAACAGCTCCCAGTATTTTCAAGAAGGACTTTCACCACATACTGCGAGATCCTTCCATGCCCTGAGGTGTCGCACTGTCCCACCAAGCTTCTCCCGTCCCATTGCATCCATGCTGATCCATCAGAAGTGATTTCTGCTCTGCCTAGCTCGCACCATCTGAACAGCCCCACCTTCCAACCAGGGAGCCCGATCCACCTTCTACCCGCACCTCTGGCGAAACTCAGCAGGACTCAAAGGGAGCTTTTAGAGGGCCCTGACCCATCATGAATTCCTCAGGGCGTTAGAAGGGGCAGAGGCCATTCTTCCTGCCGCTCCTCACACAGATCAGTGGCTTTCCTTCTCCAGTCTATGAGGCGATACAGCACCCCACACTTACTGCTGTGGTCATAAGCTGCGGAGGAGGATTGTGCACCCCCCACACTGCGGCATGGTGAGTATCCCCACATTAGGCTGTCACAACAACAAACTGCAAATATATCCGATTTACTATTGCCTCCTACCCCCCACCACACCCCTTCCACACCCTTCCCTAGTTTAACCTCTGTCCCCTTGAATACCCCTTGCTGGTATACGTGCATAGCTCACTTTTAATTTAATTGGTTCACTATTGCCTCCCATTCTCCATTTCTTCCACATCATAAGAGACATGAAGATAAACTCCTGAAGAGTAGATCTCAAAATGGCAACTGTCACCTCAGAAAGCGCTTCCAGGTTGTTTCTCATTTTTTACTCACGCACACCAGCCTGGAAGGACTAAGCACTCTCACAGTCAAACAAGTTCCCTGCACAGACCCAACCAGTGATGTCGTTTGTTCAGACATACTTTCACAGCAGCCCCACAAGGCAGGGCAACACTTTAGCTGCAATTCATCAGGGGGAAACCAAGGCAGAGTTCAAATGATTTGCCCGTGGCCATACCCATCGTCTGCGATAAAGCAAAGACTCACGCCTGGCCCTCTCAAGTCATATAGTAGCCCCGTGACCCTGCCCTTCCCCTCAGGAGCCACCCATCGCTCCCTCCCTTTCAGCTCCTTTGCCAAAGCTCTGAACTCTTCTGACCACAATCCAGATTAGAAGTTTATCTTCACAACATGCAAGGACATGCTCTGTCCAAGCAAACAGATAATTAACTCAAAACTTGATTCATAAGGGCAAAGTGACT